CGTGCTTCCTCTACACTACATAATCACATCGATATTTTAATACGCTAAGAGTTACTACTACATGTACCAAATGTTTCTGTTTATCCTGGCGAGTTTCAAAAATTTTCAGAGTAAAAGTTGAGCATAATTATCAATTTCAAACATAAAATTGCTTTCAATACAGCGATGTTCAACGTCATCTACACAATTCTATTTTGACACCTTGATCTTTTATTATCAGAACCGCCCTTTAACATGCATCGTTCATGTGCTGATTTTAGCGGACTAACCTGAAGCCTCTAACCTGCATTGCAAGCATGGTGATTCACCCTTTTACATAAAATCCCAACAACTCGTTTGCAAAATTTATGTTTCTGGCCCCATAAATTTAATAATCATTACAGCCGTGGTCGGCAATCTTTATGTAGTGGCGCGCCAAATATACATTTCCGAAAGCGTGTGCGCCACATTAATTTCTGCCTATTGACAATCGTTTCACTGAACTTCAAAATATGCCGAACCTGCAATGAGGTGTGTTTGCGATCATAAAATAAATAAATGTGAAATATCGATTTGGCCACGAACACCTGGATCTAGCAGGAATACTAGCGGATTATATATAATATACCCGTGTATCTGACTCACAATCTACAACTGATTGACTCCCGAATTAACAACATTATACAAAATTGATTCTAAATTTTGAATGTAAACTTGCGGAGCCCCTGAACTGGGTTAAAGAAACTCTGCCGCGGAACCCTGGTTGAAAACCACTGCCTTACAGGTTCACTCGAAACGAATTATTGTCGAAACGGTTTCTCTTTATATAACCCTATCATTATGCTACAAACCTGCATGACGTAACATCCTTGGTAAACCGCGACAACCTATGTCATGTCCTCTCCCCCACACGACGTAATAACAACGCTCATAACAGCATTTGTTAGGATATCCGAGATATAGGGTGTCCATAAGTCTTAAAATATTTTAAAATTGCAAAGGGAATTTATCGAAAATATATATTGTTTTGAACCTCACAGGTGTATAAAATGAAATGAAATTACTTGAACAATTACTGATTAAAAAACAACAAACTTGGTTGAGATATATTGAGAACTGACTTCGTAACAAAATTGAAATTGTAAAAGAACTGTATGGACACCCTGTATATCCACTAGCCCAGAATAGTGAGACCATTGTACCAAAGCGAAACCATTTTTGAGAAACCTGGAAAAACATGCATAATACATTGATAACATACATAATAGCATTATTCACAGCGATATTTTAATACTCAGGAAGATATATCTGCCAAGTGCTATGAAATATATACGCGCCCTTTATGATTTCCGATTGGTCGATCACTTCCTGAAATTGAATTTTTTTTCAAAATCTCCAAATTTCGTGTACCGAGATCATGATGAGATGTGATACAATCAAACCCTTCTTAATATGACGTAATACGACGCTTACTCGCGGCTGTCGCTCTGTACAAGGCCAGATACAAGCAGTCAATAATACTTAACGATATTATAAATAATCTCTCTTCACAGACTTACTCCACTAATTTATTATATCCTGGGTGAGATAGCGGGCATGGGATTCGAACCTGATATGTCATCAGAATTACCGTTTTGTACGAACCACAAAGCGCATTTTTTCTCGAAAATCGATCGCCATATAAGCCAATGTTCCTATCCACATACGCCCTTACGTATGAAAAAAAAACAATCTAATCAATTTATTAACAGTGTGTATTATAATCCCGCTCGATTTATAAAATACATTTGCCTTACTTAATAATCCTCGATCATGTCCTTCAGATGACCAGGGGCAACCTATGTCATGTCCTCCCGATATAACCGATGACATCCAGGTCGTGCTTCCTCTACACTACATAATCCCATCGATATTTTAATAACGCTAAGAGCGCTAGACAGCTACAATACAGTCATTTAATATGGCGTAATACGCTGATGCAGGACCTTAGAAATCCGGGTTTGGGGCTTTCTCAATCTCAAACGCGGGTTTTATTTTCTCCCGAAGTGAAGCGTTTAATGTTGTATATTTGCAAATAACTAAAACACTCGCCCTTCAGTTAAGATCACACTCAAATTGTTACTACTTATTGCCGAATGGCGATTTCAAAGGTTTGAATAAACTAAGAGTGAATAACTACCAGTGAATTGGTATGTATGGCTTTATATTGTACTTCAAGCTCGTGTTGAAACGGTTTCGAATTTCAACAGAAAAACTCCAAAACTAGGGTCGTACGACCGGGTAACGGAACTCCGGGTGCCGCGGAACCCTAGTTTAATAACCACTGCCTTACAGGTTCACTCCGAACGACAACGAATTATTTGTCAAAACGGTTTCTCTTTTTATGATCCTGTTATTAATATTTTCTATGCTACAAACCTGCATGACGTAACATCCTTAGTGAACCGCGGCAACCTAGGTCATGCCCCCTCTCCCACACGACGTAATAACAACACTCATAACGGTGTATGCGGGATATCCGAGATATAGGGTGTCCATGAAATCTTAAAAAAAGTGCAAAAGGAATTTATTGATACCTTATATTGTTTTGGCCCTCACAAATGTATTAAAAGAAGTAAAAATACTTGAACAATCACTGATTAAAAACAACAAACACCATGTATATTCACAAACCTAACCCAGGATAGTGATATAAGTGTGCCAAAGAGGGAAATGAAATTGTTTCGAGAGACCTGGAAAATCATACATACTACATTAATAACATTATTCCCAGCGATATATTAATACTCGGGAAGATATATATTCCAATCGCTATGAAATATATACGCGGCCTTTGTGATTTCCGATTGGTCGATCACTTCCTGAAGTCGAGAAACGACAAATTTTTTGCACCTAGAGCCTAATAATAACATGTAATAACTAATAGTCCTATCACTGGTTCGACGGATGCGTTGGATTGTGCTAAACTAAACATCAGAACAGGATTTCAACTTTGGTTGAAATAGTACTACACGCCAAGCTCTAGGCAGTCAAAAATTATATTTTTTGAGGGAGGGAGGGGAGGGGGAATTAATTTTTTAATATGACGTAATACAGCTGATTCGGGACTTTAGCAACCCGGTTCGGGGCTTTCTCAGTCTCGAAAGCGGGTATTTGTCTCCCGAAGTGATGCGTTTATTGTTATTTATTTGTAAACAATGAAAATGCGGTAAAAAAATGAGTGCATTTTGGATCGTGTTTTATTTTTCAAAATGTGATTGGAAGTTTTCGAGAATTTTGAATGAACCTATAAATACAAAGTAACTAAATCATGCTCTCCCTGTTTAACTAACTCGCCCCAACTTATTCTCAGCGACTTTCCAATTTATAGCTATTATTACCTTACAGTTACGACAGCGCACATTGATATTACTTAGTGCCGAACGCTGCCTTCGCAAATTTGAATCAACTACCCGTGAATATTTTTTTTATTAGTCAGCAAGTGGTATGTATGACTTTATATTGTACTTCAAGTTCGTGTTTTGCTCATAGAAACGGTTTCGAATCTTTCAAAACTGTTGTTTTTCGCGGGGCAAACTTCCTACCTCAGTTTTCTATTTATATTCTTCTATGTCTGCGTTACTCACAACTAACGATAGGCGCGTTCTACAACCACTGGCATGTGATTTCGTTTACACTAATTACCACAAAACAATAGTCTACAACAGCCATTGTTACGACATACATCCGTGCGCATACAAATATATAAATTTATGAACATTTTTATTAGTCGCAAAAAAATTGTTTGCTGGACCCATTTTGCCGATCACTGTCTCACAGTTTCACTACAAACGATAACGAATTATTTGTCGAAACGGTTTCTCTTCGTAAAACCCTATTATTAATATTTTCTATGCATCTGCATGACGTAACATCCTTAGTAAACCGCTGCAACCTAGGTCATGCCCCCTCCCTCACACGATGTAATAACAACGCTTATAAAGGTGTTTGTTAGGCTATCGAAGATATAGGGTGTCCATAAGTCCTAAAATATTTTATATTTTGCAAAGGGAGTTCATCGATACTCTCGTCCAGTTACCAGTACCGTGTTGGGTCATATTAGATATTAGGTTTGGGCAGAGAATTCCGATATATTGTTCTAAGTGTAATCTGTGAACGAGGGTAGATTCAACGCTTTTCCCAGATATCTGGTTTCATTCGCTTCTCCAATAACTGACTCACTGTTTCAGAACAAGAACGAAGAAACCCAAAAATGATCGAATCAATGTTTATTATCATGTTTGGTTATATACAGAAATCACATGGAGACAGCTATGAATTTATTTACTGAGCAAATACGTTTCAATAGACAAGGCGACCAGTTCAAGGCAAGGGTTATACGGTTAATAATAAAATAATAGTATAGAAACAATGTATAAGTAAGCAGTGGCAGGATTCAAGAGGCTCTTGCAAACCGTTCCTGTTTTTTTATGATTTAGTTCAGTATGTTTCTCTAAAATGAGAGAACCCGTTGTTAGCGAGTTCGATGCAATAGAGAACCCGTTCTTAGATTTTTGAATTCTGCCACTGAAAGTGAATAATCATAAGTAAAAATCAAGTTTCATTTATATTAGGACGAACATACTTGTGTGGCCTTTGTCTAATTCTAATCACAGGCCGGCTTCAGTGTGGAATAAAAATGCATTAGTAAAAATATCAGTAATTTAACTTTTATAAACACGTAATTTAGACTTCTTTCATAAATAAAATCGGGTTTTAAGGCTTGAAAAACAGACTTTGTAAAAAAATTCGATTTAGTAAAATTGAAGAGTAATTTAATTTCAGATCGTTTATGGGCAGCTTATAAATTTTGCATAATCAGACATGGACATATCATAATTAGAACATTTAGAACAACGGCCATAGAAAAGCGAACAAAAATTTTAATGAAAATCTATATAGATCACAACAGTCATTTAACTGTTTTTGTCTTTTTTATCATTGAATCCGTCAACGAAGTTCTGTCAGGTTTTGATCTGGTTTTATATTTCACAGATGACACCGTTGTTTGTGTAGGATGGTGGATCATTGATCATTCCCTGATATGCATACCCTGGATCTTTATTGACACGAACACCAACATTTGTCCACGATGCTTCGGATACCGGATAATTAGGAACCCACACTTCTGTTGCTATAGTGATTGGTCTTCCATTGGACAACAAAAGCTGATTGTTCTGTCACAGTTGAATAAAAAGTTTTAAAATCCATTGCTTGAAATGTTAATACAACTGACATATTAGATGAAGAATGAAAATATTGGCGTGTAGGAATAGGCTCCGTAGTAAAGGTAGTCAGCAAAGATAGACGTATATGGGGGTTAACGTTACATAAAAATGGGTAAAAAGCAGAAAAAATGCATTAAAAATGGTTGGAAATTAAAAAAAACGCGATCGGACAACTCGGATATGACGTCATAATATCTTGGAAATCATGTTTAATATTTTTAATTTTTATTAATCGCCCAAATTAACAATGGGGCATCGTTTACCTGCCCATCATCTGATACTTTTAATAATAAACCGCTTTTGGTAAATTGTACCCAAGATGAAGATTACAAGAAAGAGTCAAACTCTGCTGAGATTGTGGTCCATCAACTGACCTTATACTCCATCCCAGTCCAGATGTAAATATATGTCCTACAGGCTGGCATCAGTGAACGTAGATAAGGGAGCAGCAGCTGGTAATGCTTGAGGTCGTAAATATTCGCGGGTTTTCCGTTCATTGATTCGCAAGTTGGTTCGGCATTGTTGAAGGTGATGTTCCATACATCATACACAACTGCCTGGAAGCATTTTTCCTTGTATGTGACGTCACACTTATCTGAAAACATTATTGTGGTCATTGAATATTTTATGTTAAAAATTAAACCGCTTTTCAAAAATGACTTCATGAGATCTGGGATTAAAATTTTCCCATTTGTCTTGGAACAGTGTTTTTCAACCTATGGGTCAAAAATATTTTGGGTCGCTTTTTTTTTTCAACAAAAACCTAAAAGTTACTAATTTTATTTTCTAGTAAATTCATTGTTGCTCAGTAATAATTGTATATGTGGGAAGTATCACAGCGTAAATACTTGTCATCTGCTATTATTAGTCAGACAGTTGATTTTGTGACCATTCAAGCAATGAGCAATACGTACCGCATAGTATTTGAGCATATCCTTGGGTTGCGAGATTTTGTAAAATTTATTTAAAAAAAATTTCGGTCCCTTGAAAATAAGGTTGGTAACCACTGCCTTGAAAGTATTGCGCCAAAGCTTCACATTCTACATTGAGCGACAAGGAATGCAATGCTATAACGAATAGATTCTGTTTTTTGGAAATGTGATAGCTACCTTCGTATCCATCTCAGTTAGTGAAACAAGGCAGGGCTGAATTAGCCATTAAGCGAAATAAGTAAGTGCTTAGGGCACAAAAAGAAAAGGGTAACGCAGAAATTTTCATAGACAATTTTTTAATGGTGCTTCAGTGTTTAATGAAATAATTCGAGTTCGTCAGACGACCCAGACTGCTATACTGGCCCGATTGAAATAAATTTTTCATTTTGTATTATTTTGAACGACATAAATAGGGAACCAAAGACTTGAGTTCTTAGGCCTTCCAAACGACATGTTCCGGTATGTTGAGTTGCAGTCTGAAATATGCGACTCCTTGCAAAATATTGAAATAACTTACGTTGTTGCTTCTTTGCGAGACTTTCTTTAATCAGGTTGGCAATCTCTGTTAAAGATGAAATTTGTTTAAACGACGATGCAGGCATTCAAGTCCAAGATTAAAACACCATTATTATCAGTCGAAGTTCATGTTCACCTCACAATATATGAAGAAACTTATTCCAATCGTTATATTACACAAAATTCGCTGCTCTGGTAATAGATCTCATCGATTGTGTGATCTCAGTTAGGACTTAAAACTGAATTCTACGAATCTCTTTATGAGATTAAACGCGTAAATCACAATTAGGGACACTTCGGTATGCGAATGAGGGCATGTCAAGCAATCAAAGTGTCAACCAAAAGTTGATGTCGCTAGATGTCTTTAGTTCAGTATCGGTATGGGGACCACCAGCTAATTTCTTATTACACGCACTTGGCGTAGGTATCTCTACAAAGCGTAAGAGTCGTAAATTAATTTATTTTTGTTAAACGATTAAAAGGCTTGTTAGCATCACGCATTAAACACAAGCTGAAATTTTGAGTAAAATTTTAAAGTTATAATGTAAAAATCATTAAATTTATCTCAGATCACTGTGAGTTTTATGTTAGAAGGACGTTGACGAGAGTATTTTCTTAAATAAAACCGTCCGATTTATTGCTTTCGTTAAAATCAAATATGCATAAAGCATAATCAATGAATCAATTTTTTTTTTAAATTAAAACATTTATCTAGAAGGAAACATGTCTCGCATTTATCTGGCCTGCCCTTCAAAAAATATTTTTTTAAATTTCTTACCAGATCCGTCGCCTTTCTGTGAAATAAAGTTAAATAATGTTAACAAAACATAAGTTTTCAAAATTAGTTCTACAGAATAAGCCAGGTCGTGAAGTTGTAAAGGGTTTTTATTCAACTCCTGATTCCAAACTTGCGTTTCCCAACTGAGGAGAATTTTTGTGATGTTTTTGGGGAGGCAATTCTGATGAAGTTACCGATACCTTTGGGGAAATCGGATTTAATTAGACAAGATGGAAAGGATTTGGGGGTTTTAGTTACTTAGTTTGTAATCATTTTAGTTTTACCTTGCAATCTCCTACAGAGACAAGTTTCCCTTTCACTAGCTTGGTGACGCAGACTCCATCTGTAAAATATAAAATGACAATAGGTGTTAGTAAACCTAGCAGTCTGGTATTGCTGCTTGTGGTAGCGGAGTTGAATTGGGCAAAAGAATTTTCGTATTTCACTCGGGGAGACAAAAGCCAGAGACGCCTTAGTATTATCGCAAACCACGGTCTCTCTTTCGGCTACCAGCCCATGCATGGACTTGATGGTGGAGGAAGCCGAACCGACCAGCGGCGGGGTCCAGAAATCCTCTCAATGAAAATGGAAAGCGAACCAAGGAATCAGAGGTGCGATGGCAAGCGTATTCATAACGCAAAGATTAAAACAATGCGACTTGTCTCCAAGTTGCATGATGTCGGTTGAAATATTTTACCAGCACTAAGAGCACTCTAACCAGAACCACGATGCCCTAAGAAACACTTATTATATTAAAATTATCACAAGTCTTACCAGGTAATTTCTTTCCGAACATGAAGCCGATGAAAAAGAAAAGGCAGAATACTTTGACAAAAATCATATTTGACTTCTGAATTAGCCTGCTAAATGCTTAAGTGTAGAATGTCTGTAAAGTAACAAGAAGGATCAAATTTATTAACTGTTCAGCTCGTACAGGATGACCCCACAAACAGGACTCATAAATTTCGCATGGCTCATTACAAATATGAACGGATGCAAGTCTGTCTACAAAACCAGGACATTTGAAACATATTCTACATTGAACACCACTTTCGTGCAAACCGTCCTAGATTTCTGAAACCTCGGGGTATAAACATACACAAAGTGAACGCATGTTCAAGTATGAACAAAACTTTTTTTTTTTTTTTTCAAGTTTTATAAAAAGTTTTCTTCGTTTTCGTAGAAGTAATTTTTGACCACTCTGTATATGTTACTGAGTAAAGAAAGTGAATGAAGTGGAGTCGAGATTGGGATATGCCGACTTATCACACTTCGGCAGCAAACTACCCAGACCCGAATTGCAACAATGTCAGCGTTTGTTTCCGTTGCGAACCGATATCTATCTATATGTAAGGAGATCTACTGTTTTACGAGAAGACACAGAACCGTTTGAGCATCGACACCAAAATCAATACAGGTGGTAAGCATGGAAACCAAATCTTAGGTGAGTAAACTGCGATGTTATCATATTTACCGTATTTACGAACCCCAAGGCGCACTTTAAATCTATTTCCAAAATCTATCGTGCACTCTAAACTCAAGAGAAGCATTGGTACCGGATGCGTATTATAGCCCAGTGCCCCTGACGTATGAAACAGGTGCATCATATGAAATACACATGCTTTCTCGATTTAACCAATGACAAGATGCAACCGAGGTCACTCCCCCGCACTTTATAATACCAATATCCAGAGTAGGATACGTATTCCAAACGCTAGCGCCATGAAATATATACGCGCCCTTATGATTTCCGGTTGTCAGACCAAAATCTTCGAATTGCGTGTACCGAGATCACCATAAGATATGATACACGTATGTCCTTGGGGGCCAGATACATGCAGCCAATGAAATCTGACTTTATCTCAAACAATCCATAGACAGACTTAATCCGGTAATCAAGCTGAACAAGTTTGTCCTCATTGTAAATGTTTTATAATCGCGGTCTATAGCACATTTTCTATTCAATTCTGAAATCATCAGATGTGCTGAAATTCCCAGTTTTACCACTGGTACATGAGAAGCTGTTATTTATTGGAAGAACAAGGAATATTTCCGATTCTCCCTAATTTATCTCACCTTTTGTGGGGTGGGGGCATGGGATTTGAATCTGAGACTAATAAATCGCGATATTATTACCGTTATCGTATTTTAAGGACCATGAGGCTTCAAATATTTTTTATTCAGGAATCGATCGTGCGTCTCTGTTTAGATCACGTAGTGCTTCGTTGCCTACAATCAAAACAAGCACCAATACCGGTTGCGTCTTATAGTCCAGTGCCGAATACGTATGGAAAAAAATCTAGAAATATATTGGCAATGTGCCTGATAATCCGGTGCACCTTATGAACACACGTAATATTGCTATGCATAGGTCATGCCCTCCCAACGACAAGATGCAACCTATGCCATGCTTCCCAATTGAACCAATGACATTCAAGCCTGCCTCTCCCGCACTATAATGATTTTTTTATTATGACATAATAAGATGCTCACTCGCGCCTCTCGCCCTGAACAAGGTCAGATAAAGCGGCAACCGATATCCGATTTTTATCTTGAATATTCTCTCCACAGTCTTACTTCACTGTCGAAGTACTCCAAGCTAGACAAGTTTATGCTTAACAGTAAATGCCGCAAAATCGCTTTTCAGGAAAACATACCGTGTTTCCCCGAAAATGAGACAGGTTTTATTTCAATTTTTTTTTTCGGAAAAATAACACTAGAACTTATTTTTGAGGATGTCTTCTACTTTCATTTATCAAAAACAAAGTATAATATTACGAGATTTTCAAATATACAAAATATGAAAACCGATATCCATTTACTTATAAATAAAACGTTTTAATTTCAAATAATTGCAAAACATAGATCAATAATCATTTAAAACGTCTAGGAAGGATATTTTGCTATGAACGAGGTTTGAAATAAAATTCGCCCCATCGACTACGTCTTATTTTTGAAAATAGGGTTTGTTGAAAATATTTTATTATTTTGGAAGGAGGGTGGGGTTTGACGTCACGCGTTGGATGTTTCTGTCTTTCTAGTCTTGTTCATTTTGTTCTCGGCCTAACCAGACTTACAAACTTTTCAAGTCAATTTTGAGAAAAATCATTATTATTTTATTTTTAAACATAGACTTGTATAAAAAAATTTATAATAAAATTATGCTTTGACATCTTAATCTTTGGTGTTCATAATGTTATGCTCTTTGTCGCTTTTGGCGGACTAACCTGGAGTCGAACCATGAGCTTCAACCTACACTTTGAGCGCGATGATACTACAAGATTAAAAACTAGTTCATCTTCTATTGCAGGAATTCTCAATGACACATTTGTGAAATTTGCGAACGCACAATATTCGTCGAATAACATTGACTCTCGAATTTGAATGTAAACTTACGAACTACTGGTCTGAGTTGACTGAACTTCAGATGCCGCGGAATCCTGGTTGAAAACCACTGCCTTACAGGTTCACTCCAAATGACAACGAATTATTTGTCGAAACGGTTTCTCTATTTAAACCTCTATTATTAATATTTTCTATGCTATACACCTGCATGACGTAACATCCTTAGTAAACCGTGGCAACCTATGTCATGACCCCTCCCTCACACGACGTAATAACAACACTCATAACAGCATTTGTTGGGATATCCGAGATATAGGGCTGGGTGTCCATAAGTCTTAAAATATTTAAAATTGCAAAGGGAATTCATCGATAATATATATTGTTTTGGCCCTCACAGGTGTATATAATGAAGTGAACTTACTTGAACAATCACTGATTAAAAAACAACAAACCTGGTTAAGATATATTGAGAACTGACTTCATAACAAAATTGAAATTGTAAAAGGACTGTATGGACACCCTGTTTATCCACTAGCCCAGAATAGTGAGACCATTGTACCAAAGCGAAACCTTTTTTGAGAAACCTGGAAAAACATACATAATACATTAATAACATACATAATAACATTATTCACAGCGATATATTAATACTCAGTGAGATATATCTTCCAAGCGCTACAAAATATATACGCGCTCTTTATGATTTCCGATTGGTCGATCACTTCCTGAAATTTAATTTTTTTCAATTTCAAAATCTCCAAATTTCGTGTACCGAGATCATGATGAGATGTGATACAATCAAACCCTTTTTAATATGACGTAATACGACGCTTACTCGCGGCTGTCGCTCTGTACAAGGCCGGATACAAGCAGTCAATGATATTTAACGATATTCTAAATAATCTCTCTTCACAGACTTACTCCACTAATTTATTACACTCTGGGTGAGATAGCGGGCATGGGATTCGAACCTGAGATGTCATCAGAATCACCGTTTTGTACGAACCACAAAGCGCATTTTTTCTCGAAAATCGATCGCCTTATAAGCCAATGTTCCTCTCCACATATGCCCTTACGTATGAAAAAAAAAACAATTTAATCAATTTATTGACAGTGTGTCTTATAATCCCGCTCGATTTATAAAATGCATTTGCCTTACTTATTAATCTCCCGATGACCAGGGGCAACCTGTCATGTCCTCCCGATATAACCGATGACATCCAGGTCGTGCTTCCTCTACACTACATAATCACATCGATATTTTAATAACGTTAGGAGCGCTAGACAGCCCAAAATATATACATTTTTTATGGGGAGCAAATATTTCAATATGGGTAATACGGCTGATTCGGGACCTTAGAAATCCGGATTTGGGGCTTTCTCAATTTCGAACTCGGGTTTTATTTTCTCCTGAAGTGATGAGTTTAATGTTGTATATTTGCACATAACGAAAACGCGAGGATTTTAATGAGTGCATTTTGCAGCGTGTTTTGTTTCTAAAATTGTGTTTAAATTGCTTTTGAGAATTTTGAATGAACACATAAATACAAAGTAACAAAAGCATGCTCTTCCTGTTTAACCAACTTGCCCCAACTTACAGACTCTCAGCAACTGTCTAATTTTTAAATATTTCTATTATCTAAAACACCCGCCTTCCAGTTAGGACCACACTTAAATTGTTACTACTTATTGCCGAATGGTGATTTCAAAAGTTTGAATAAACTACCAGTGAATACTACCAGTGAAGTGGTATGTAGGCTTTATATTGTACTTCAAGCTCGTGTTAGAAACGGTTTCGAATTTCAACATAAAAACTCCAAAACTCGGGTCGTACGAACAGGTGACGGAACTCCGGTGCCGCGGAACCCTGGTTTAAATAACCACTGCCTTACAGGTTCACTCCGAACGACAACGAATTATTTGTCAAAACGGTTTCTCTTTTTATTACCCTTTTAATATTTTCTGTGCTATACAACCTGCATGACGTAACATCCTTAGTAACCGCGGCAACCTAGGTCATGCCCCTCCCCACACGACGTAATAACAACACTCATAACAGTGTTTGTTAGGTAGTCCAATATTAAGGTGTCCATAAAGTTCTAATTTCGGCCCTCAAATATATATTTAAATGAAGTAGAAGTACTTAAATTACTGATTAAAAAACCACAAACTGGTTGGGATATATTGAGAACTGACTTCGTAACAAAATTAAAATTGTCAAGGACTTCTTAAA